ATAAACAGCAGAAAGACAAACTGTCCCATCGTACAGTGCCCTTTAAGCGTGCAGACTCTAAGGATACAACCCATCTACCACCTTCACTAGAGTCAGAAGTGCCTTTAACATCTCCTTATAAGATGACCTCCAACTGTATCCCCCCAAAATTGACATAAATTTACATGAGTGATAGTTGGGGATTTTGCTAAGGTAATTGCTAAAGGTGAAGACTCTCTGATCCAGTTATCAGACGGCGACCAGAGGCAGAGATAGAGGCATGCCTCAGTGCCCCACACAAACGGTGGGGTTACCCTTGCTGTTGTGGATGATGCCCCCATAGTCTTGCAGAACTTGCCTAATTCCTGATTAAACACATCTAATAACCAACAATATTTAGTTTTCGGTGACAACATCACCCATCATAATTATCTCCCAACAAGTGCCCCTACTGAGAACACGGACTGACTATATGAAGGCCAGACTGTTCTGATATTATTTTGTTTCTTTGTTCTATTCCCCATTTCCTCTGATTTCACTAGTTTATTCCCATATATAAAACTATCTGATTGTACACTTGTTTCTTCTGATGTAAGCCGTATTCATTATGATTTAAGGTAGATACTTCTGGACTTTCGACACAAAGTTTAAAAACCTCAACCCTTGAAATTTACATAAAGCTTCCTGGATGAAGAAATTGGAATAGAAAAGAACTTCCCAATAGACAATATTTAGGTCATGTCAGGATTTTTAGTTGACTAGCCTATCATGTTTACTTTTATCTGGGACTTCTAGAAGATTATACACTAGTGATGTTTAACATTATCTCCTTTTCCACGTCATAATGACAGGATCAAATTAGACCTGAACCAGAACGTTTCTGATAGGTGATATTTTCTGAATCTACTTGAGGTTCTTCTCGTCTCATAGATTTATCCTGCTTAGAAGCCCATGGACCTTTAAATTACTAAACATCCTTATTTCCAGTTGAAGCAAGAGAATTTCAAAAATTCTAGGGTTGAAAAAACAGAGTTTGCAGGGAATCGGAGGCAACATGCTTTATATATCAGCTGTTAGGAAGCGACAATGAAAAAGGTTGGCATTTTCCTGGTTATATATGTACGTTTCTAGAATGCATTTGTTTGGCCACTCTATGAATACCGAATACTAGATCAGTTTAACCAATCGCAACCTGATTTAACAGGTCGCTTTTTATGGATTCTCTTTCCTTGCCATTAATTTGCATTTCTCTTCTTCTTTGTCAGTTATGTGCATAACCTTACAAAAGATTATCATATGTGCATAACCTTACAAAAAAGCAACCTTGGCATAAAGCCATATGTGCATTAATAGATAAATTGCATGCCTTAGCCATAAAGGTATGTTATATCCAGCCTTGTTAACAGAAGGACACCATGAATTAGGCTACTAAACTATTAATTGTACTTTTGGATCCTGCTTGGTTAAGTTATTTTTGTACTAGTCTTGAACCGTAATAAATTTATCTATCTAGATAAGTGCTTTATTTGCTACTTGTTTCCCAAAACTCTTAATTGAAACTCATGAAAACAGCTACAGCTGAAAAATACTACTTGTAAACAAGTGTTACGTTTCCTATCTGGTGTTTTCCCAAGTGCTTCTTCCTAGTTGAATTTGACACGTACTTTGTTTTGGCCTGTAGGTTTTAATTTTCTGAAGAGAGAAGGGGAGGAGTACTCTAGCAATATGTGTTGTGTGTTGTTGCAGCAACTTATATAATTTATTCTTTCCAGCATGAGGCAATTAAGCATAACTTGAAGATAAACAGATAGCAGCAGATCTGTTTTCCTTGAGGGTAGACATAAAAGGGCAGAAAAATTCCACTCTTCTCTGTTATAGTTAATATAGTTCATAGTTCAGCACATTTGGTTATTGCTGCTGATAATGTGGGAAGCAAATAAGAGTAATTTGTAGTTAGCCAGTAATGATCAGCAGGGCAGAAGCTGCCCTTTCCAGAAGTGACAACTTGAGATTTCAACACAACTGTTGCTGATGCTCTTTCTCAAGAATCAGAACAAGAAATAAAATCTCTGCTTTTCGTTGGGGTCCCACAATGGGGGAGTGGTCTGGCAAAGAGATTTCTGGAGAAAGAGCTTAATACAAAATAACAAGGTAACCCAAGGGTGCTGTAAAAATGTCCTTTCAAAGGCATTTCATGGAAGAGTGCAGACTTGTGTGGTCTCTGAAAAGAGACTCATTGGAAACGTGTGGTGTGTTATTCAATCTGGGTAAGATCCACATGTATTTATTTGGTGTATGAATGTTTGTTTCATTTCATGTATGTTGGTCATCTAAAGCAGGGCTTTTCAACCTTTTCACCCATTGTACCACTTTTAGGATATGGCAATATCCGAGTACCACCAGTCGCCTAGCAAGGTGTCAAAAACATGATAACCCCCCCAAAAAGGAAAAAAGTTATAAAGTATAGGTAGTCCTCGACTTACAACAGTTCGCTTAGTGACTGTTTGAAGTTACAATGGTACTGAAAAAAGTGCCCCCCAAGGCACAGCCGAGCAAGACACCTGCCTGCCCACCTGGCGGCGCTCTTCCTCCTGTCCGAGGTTTTCATTGTTGTGAGCATTTCTGTTGAGGATTGGCAGCGGGGGTGGGGTGGGGGGTGTTTGGGTTTTATTCCCCCCGTCTGCTGGGTGGTTGCAGCAGGTTTTGGTCACTTCACATGACCCTGGGACACTGTGACCATCATAAATATGAATCAGTTGCCAAGCATCTGAATGTAAATCACAAGACTCTGGAGATGTTGCAACATTCCAGCTGATTGGCGCTTCTTCTGGGCTCAGCAGAAGCGCCAGGATCAGCGCTGAGCTCCAGCTGGAGCCTGGTGCTTCCACTGAGCCCTGACAGCCCTGCAGCTTCAGCCATCTCTCGCTCAGGCTTGTGCGGTGCTGCCACAGGTTCAGCTCATTCCCCTCCCCCGCTACCACTTTTTTAGGATGGTCGCGTACCACCTGCCAGGTGCCAATGTACCACAGGTGGTACCCGTACCACTGGTTGGAAAGCCCTGATCTAAAGAAGGGGTAGGGAACATGGCACCCTGCGAATCGCAACACTCAACATCATGTACTAATTGTCAATATTCATATATTCCCTGCCTTTTGCATTCACTCTGGATTCTTTTTATGATATCCCCTTATTCCATCCTGCAGGTATATATAAATTAAAGTTATATTTAATTTTATTCGTCATTCTTCAACTTATAATCATTCCCGAACAGGAAATAACTATTAGTATTATATAATGAAAAACAGCATGTTTGGCATTTGCACCACTTTTAATTATTGAAAGAGATTGAACAGCAACTAGCAGTAACAGGAAAATGTGATTTTTACCTGTTAGACATAATATGATTGCTGTATCTGGGCTGGAAAAATCTGGACAACCACTATGACAACAAACAGTTATTTATACCAGAGGTCACCAATCTTTCTCAGTTGGCGGACCGGAGGGAAAGGGAGGGGGAAGCATTTTATACGCACGTGCGCATGCAAGCACATGTGTGACGCAAACGGTGTGGGGCTAGTGCTTACGTGATACTCACTAGCCCTGCCCCGTTCTTGCACAGCGCCTCATTTTCATGCCCTGCGGTGCAGCATCTGCCCATTTTCATGCCCTATGGTGTGCCGGTGTCCCGTTTTTGTGCCCCGAGGTGCGGTGTCAGCACGTTTTCGTGCCACGTGGCGCGGTGTCCTGTTTTTTCACTCTGCGGCCACCGCGCTAGCACGAGTGGGTGTGTGTGCGCGCACTGGCCGGCCAGCCTGTCCCGCGGCCCGGTGGCCAGCAGGCCAAGGCCCACAGGTTGGGGATCCCTGATTTATACAATGTCACCGCCATCTAGTGGCTTCCTAGGATTTTGCAACTCAGGTGTTAACCCTAAAATAAGTGCCACTCCACCTTAGAAGAAGAGTGGGCAGGGAGAAGCAGTTTGAGCTGTTGGAAGAGGTAGGATATAGTAATAGGGGTGACATAAGAAAAGGGGAGGAAGGTCCAAAAGAAAAGTGGGGCGAAATAGTTCGAGTGGCACGTGGCAGCAGTGGACTTCGGTGAGCCAAATATCTGTCATTGCAGAAAATGTTTGGCTGCATTATTGAGCATTGGTACCAAATGGAGAAGTGCTTCAGAGGCTGCAGGAAGATTTTTCTGGAGTCACATTGGTTCACAAGCTGTCCACTCATGGTGTAGTTGCTGAAAAGTTGCCCTTGGATTGTTGAAATCTGAGTCAAAATCCCATGCTGGCAGGAAATGGTTGAAAACCAATTCTGGAGGTCACCAGGCTTGAGAAATCTATGCACAAAGCATCACTCCACATATCAAAATGCTTATATTAATCAATTAACAGGCCAGCTTCTTTTATTAGGAAAAGACCTGCAGTCTTAAGTTTTTGGATATCTGTTTCATGAAAATGAGGCTACCAAACAGAATTGTGATTTTTGCCCTTGAATGTTATTTACTGATATGCAGATTACCCGTGACGTACGACCACAATTGAGCCCAAAGTTTCTGTCGCTAAGTGAGACAGCTGTTAAATGAATTTTGCCCCATTTTATGACTTTTCTTGCCACAATTGTGAGATGGAACACTGCAGTTGTTAAGTCAGTAACACGGTTGTCAAGTGAATCTGGTTTCTCTATTGTCGTAAGGTCACAAAAGGTGATCACATGATCCTGGAACACTGCAATCTTGTGTCCGTTGCCAAGCATCTGAATTTTGATCACATGACCACGGGGATGCTGCAGTGGTCGTAAGTGTGAAAAACGGTCACAAGTCATTTTTTCAGTGCAATTTTCACTTTGAATGGTCACCAAATGAACTGTTTTGTAAGTCAACAACTACCTGTAAAATATTTTTTTAAAAGAAACCTGATACCGCTTTCTGTTGCTCTTTGTTTGATCTGCAGATGATCCCTATTATTTTCTTTTTTGAGAGAGAGAGATTTCTTCTCTTTTCACCTGCAGGAAAATTTCAAGATCCATGCCTTGCTGAAAGCAGAGAAGATGTTATGCTGGGGATATTGGTCTTTCGGATTTCCTGGCTCAGATAGTACTCTACAGGCAGTCATCCCTGAACCTCGGACCACTGAATTCATTCATGAGAGGAGTGTCAAAGAAGTGGCTTGTGGGAAAAACCACTCTGTGTTCTTGCTGGAAGATGGGGAAGTGTACACCTGTGGTGTGAACACCAAAGGGCAACTTGGTCACGAGCGAGAAGGCGGCAAGCCAGGTAGGTTTCTTCTGAGTACTTGACCCTAAATTCTTTCGTTTTCATGATTTGTCTCTGTTGGCATCTGTTGTTCCCAATAGTTTTGAATTATCATTCTTATATTTATGCTTTTTCTGTGACTCTGTTGTTAATCAGGGGTTCCAAATGTTTTTGTGCTGATGGGCATATCTGAACTTTTGAAAGCAAGTTAAAGGACATTTTCACAAAAGGGCTGCTGCGTCACACGATCCAAATGGTGGAAACATTCGGGGGAGGGGCGAGGTTATAAATATTATCAATACTATGTTTAATAGTGGATTAGTTAAATTATTTAAGGGTGTGGCAGGTATGAGGAAAGTTAAGAAGCAGAGGCTTTTTAACGGTGAACTAAAAATTGCTCCTGTGAGTCCCCTGGATTGCAAGGTGATCAAACCGGTCAGTCCTAAAGGAGATCAACCCCGACTGCTCTTTAGAAGGCCAGATCCTGAAGTTGAAACTCAAGTACTTTGGCCACCTAATGAGAAGGAAGAACTCACTGGAGAAGAGCCTAATGCTGGGAAAGACTGAGGGCAAGAGAAGAAGGGCACGACAGAGAATGAGGTGGCTGGATGGAGTCACTGAAGCAGTAGGCGTGAGCTTAAATGGACTCCAGAAGATGGTACAGGACAGGAAGGCCTGGAGGAACGTTGTCCATGGGGTCGCGATGGGTCGGACATGACTTCGCAACTAACAACAACAAGAATTGCTCTACAGGTACTCCTTGACTTACGCCCACAATTGAGTCCACAATTTATGTTGCTAAGCAAGACATTTGTTAAGTGGGTTTTGCCCCATTGTACGACCCATTGTGCCCCATTGTTCTTACCACAGTTGCTAAGTGAATCATTGCAGCTGTTAAGTTAGTAACACGGTTGTTAAGTGAATCTGGCTTCCCTGTTGACTTTGCTTGTCAGAAGATCACAAAAAGGGATCCCATGGCCGCGTGACACTGCAACCGTCATAAATATGAGCCAGTTGCCAAGCGTCTGAATTTTGATCACCTGACCATGGGGATGCTGCAGTGGTCATAAATATGAAAAATGATTATAAGTCACTTTTTCCAGTGCTGTTATAACTTTGAACAGTCACTAAATGAACTGTTGTAAGTTGAGGACTACTGTACTTCACACTGGTTATTTTCTTCTCATCTAGATTTTGACTTAAGATGCTTTTTCTGTCTGACCTCAAAATAACCTCTGCCAGGAACCATGAAGCGTCATGTCAAGAGTGTGTCTTGTTCAAATTATATCCTTTTCCTTACATTTCCAGCATCAAGAGCAGGGGTCTTCAAACTTGGCCCTTTTATGACTTGTGGACTTCAACTCCCAGAATTCCTCAGCCAGGCACGCTGGCTGAGGAATTCTGGGAATTGAAGTCCACAAGTCATAAAAGGGCCAGGTTTGAAGACCCCTGATCAAGAGCAACCCTGGTTCATTTTGTCCATGATGTTGATAGAGAACTAAAAAAATGCTAGTCCCTCGCCTGTTCAGATTTTGGCACTTTTGCAAACAGTGTCTTTCACAACAATCACTAAAGCAGCTTTCTTTCTCCTGTGGTCTGATGGATAGAAAGTCTCAGGTGATATAGATGTTGTGGACTCTACTTCAGATTCTAAGAGACAGGGATGAGGAAATCTCTTCATGACCACAGACTGCTTTTTGCTTTTTAAAATGTTGTTAAGGTCTCGGGGATGTGATAGAGGCATGGTGGTATCCTATTCCCGCCTTAGGCATCAAAGCTGGCTGGGTGACTTTGGGCTGGTCACTCTCTGACCTACTCACCTCACAAGGTGGTTGTGGGGAAAAGAGAAGGAGGAAGAAGTATAACAGAATAACAGAGTGGGAAGGGATCTTGGAGGTCTTCTAGTTCAGGGGGTCTCCAATGTTGGCAACTTTACAACTTGTGGACGTCAACTCCTAGAATTTCTCAGCCAGCTATGGGAGTTGAAGTCTACAAATCAGAAAGTCGCCAAGATTGGAGACCCCTGTTCTAATGCAACCTGCTGCTCAAGCCAGACTTGATCTTACAAGGAGAATAGGCACATAATAAGATTTCAGTTCTTCACTTGGAAATAGGAAACCAGACAAATAGCCCTGATCAGCAAGGGGGATATTTATACGAATTTACACACACACAAGCGCAAACCAGTTGGAATAAAAGAATCATCATGAAACTAAGCCAGGGGAGATATAAACACATACAGATAGAGTTTCTTATGTATATACAAGAAACCTAGCATAAGCAACAGTAATATTACTTAGACTTATATACCGCTTCATAGTGCTTTACAGGCCTCTCTAAGCGATTTACAGAGTCAGCACATTGCCCTCAACAGTCTGAGTCCTCATTTTACCGACCTCGTAAGGATGGAAGGCTGAGTCAACCTTGAGCCGTTCAAAATCGAACTGCGCAAGGGAGCAGCGAGTTAGCCTGCAGTACTGCATTCTAACCACTGCGCCACCATGGAAGTTGATAAGGAATCAGCCTTGCTTCCCATTTCCCTTTTAAGGGTGACAGAGAAGGGAAGATATTCAGGATGATACAATACACACAGACACACACAATACTCCCACTCGTAATAAAAATGAAGATTATATGGTAGACAATAAATAACAAAATCTTCAACTTTCTTCTTGTATGTACTCAACTTACAAATCACACACAATACCTTCGCAGTTTCCAAACATTTGAATAACTGGACACATGGCAGGATCAAACCCTGTATCCAACCATTCACAGATAACAGAAAGGGATGCATAGTCCCAAAGCTGGAAGATGCACAATGTGGTCACAGCCGTGGAACCAAAGCAATTCGAAGCATTCCCTTTACTGTTGAGAGATTCAACTCTTAAAGGGATAGACTCACATAGTTCTTCCTCAAAGTTTCTCTCTTTAGCCCAGGGGTAGGCAACCTTGGCTCTTTTATGACTTGTAGACTTCAACTCCCAGAATTCCTGGGCTAGCATGGCTGGCTCCGGAATTCTGGGAGTTGAAGTCCACGAGTCATAAAAGAGCCAAGGTTGCCTACCCCTGCGTTAGCCCACACAGATGTTCACTTGACATGGTATACACAGAAGCGGTGAATGCGCCAACACTGGAAGTTTTTAAGAAGAAACTGGACAGCCATTTGTCCGAAATGATATAGGGTTTCCTGCCTGAGCAGGAAGTTGGACTAGATGACCTCCGAGGTCCCTTCCAACTTTATCATTATTATTATTATTATTATTATTATACCATATTGTCCCTTCCCTTCTTGTATGTGAATAGGGGATATGCAGCCCCCCCTTATATTTTACAGGCAATCAATTTAAATCAGTGGTTATTACATTATGTATTTACATAGTAAATATTTACTGTGTTTATGAACTGTGAATAACAATTGGTAGCTTCTCATTTTTTTCTTTTGATCCTGCCTTTTTAAGGACAAGTTTTAAAGTTTTAAATCAAAATCTTTAAACTAGCTTTTATTAATACATATGCACCTACAGTAAATGTGATAAGTGAACACATTTCTTCAGGATCGGAAAATGTCCATGATTGGCCTCAGACAGAGCATTACCTTTACATAGACTTTTGCCCATGAAATACACACATGTGCGCGCGCGCACCCACACACCCACAAACACACATACAGTCATTTGGTTCTTTCCCTTTTAGGTAACTTCAGTATGTTTCATCATTTTTGTCTTAAATTTTTTTACTGGGCTGATTTCAAATACTTTAAATATTTGCTTTATCAATGTAATTGGATATTTTCCCTGTTAAGCCTAAGTTGCTTTAAGGTACCCCATGGAATTAAGGATATTGCCAGTCAGCATTCCAAACAGTGATGATTGAACAAATAAGAAAAAAAACCCTAAGTGTTCATATACTGTATGTATTACTGTAGGTAGAGAAGTGAAAAAGTTTGTAACTAGACATATTGGGCAAAATTTGGTCTATCTTTTGAACTGGCGCCAGTGGCAACAAGCAAGTTTTAAAAATAAATTTCTCATTCTCACATGGATTTTCCTTCTCAATGTATTTGCTTGCAGAATCCAACAGTCCAGTTTAGTAGTGTTATCCCCTAGAGATTATTCCCACCAAAACTGAGGTTTTTCGTAAAATAATTACACTTTGCCATCTGCGGAGTAGATTTTGGAAACGTGCCTGTAACATGTTGTACTTTTCCAACATGAATACAGTCTAGTTTCTAGCTCGATTAAGAACTGCAAAATATACAGTATGTACCAACTTGAGGACAGTTTGGTCAAACTTCCATGATTATGTTTATTTATTTCACTAAATTCATGTGCCTTTCCAACCAAATTTTTTTAAAGGTTGGTCCCCTGTAGAAGAATTTGAAACAAAAACCACATATGAATTCTAAAATTCATGACATTACTAAGAGGGAGCATTTTATTTCTCCCTTTTAAGCAAAAAAATAAATCCAAAACACAGTGTCCTCCACCTTCAAGAAAGTTGTGGCCCAAAATTACATTAAAGTAATTAAAATTGACTGTCTTTGCCACATTGTGGAAATGAAAGAATTATATTCTTTTGTTCTTCTTTGCTCATTTGTCAACACCAAAACACTTTTGGACCTGGAATTTTATTTTATTTATTTAGAAAATGTATATGGTTGCCCATCTGAAACAAACAAAAAAAATTGAGTGATTGACAATAGTGGATAAAGTCAAGATATAACAAAATGAACAATATAATTAAAAACAAAGCGAGCAAATACCAGAACCAAGGTATCTCGCAAACAACTCACAGTCCCAAACTTGCATGTATTGGGCAGTACTAGCTACCTAGCCATCGTACCTTTCATAACATTTCATATGTCCAGAAGGATTGAGGTTATCTGGATCTTGTGAAGGAGGCTCTTCCACAGAGTGACAAGTGGCATGTTTTCTTGGGCCCTGCATGATGGCACTGTTTCACTGAGGGACTCTGGAGCAGGCCCACCTAGTCTGATATCTTGGGAAACAACTGGAGTCAAGTGGCCCCATAAGTAACTGACCCTGTGCACAACTTTAAGGATGATAACCAGAATCTTGAATTGTAGCCAGCTATCTACTAGAACAGAGGTCCCCAACCTTTCTCGGCTGGCAGACTGGAGGGGAAGGGAGCGGGAAGCTTTTTACGTGCGCGCACACACAAACAGGGCTGCGAGCACGCACGATGCAAACGGGGCAGTGCTAGCGCCCATGTGACACTCTAGCACCTCCCTATTTTTGTCGCATGGACGCTAGCACCGCCCCATTTTCGCTGCGCGGTGCCTCGTTTTCATAGCACCAGCGCTAGTGCGAGTGGGGGTGAGGCGCACTGGTCAGCCTGTTTCCATGGCCTGATAGCCAGTAGGCCACAGCCCGGTAGTGGACCATGGCCCACAAGTTGGGGACTCCTGTACTAGAAGACAGCATAGCTTATCCAGCAGCAGCGTCATAGTGTTAGCAATAGCAATAGTATTTAGACATATATACCACCCCATAGTGCTCTGCAGCTCTCTCTAAGCCAGTGGTTCTCAACCTGTGGGTCGGGACCCTATTTGGGGTCGATTGACCATTTCATGGGGGTCGCCAAGCAAGGCTGTCCGCCATTTTTTTTCCCCGCCATTTTTTCCCCTTTTCCGGCGGGTGCCTTACCTTCCTTGGGCTGGGCCAGCTGGTGGTCGGCCTGCTCCGTCTCTGCCGCTTGCCAGCTACGCCTCGGCCGGCGCAGGGGGCGGAACCACACATGCGCGGTGCTCCCGGGCAGGGAAAGTCCTCGACTTACGACCGGTTGGGTAGTCCTTGACTTACGACCGGTTTAATCCTTGACTTACGACCGGTTTAGTCCTCAACGTACGACCGGTTTAGTCCTCAACTTACGACTGGTTGGGGTCGCGGCATTAAAAAGGTTGAGAACCACTGCTCTAAGCAGTTTACAGAGTTAGCATATTGCTCCCAACAATCTGGGTCCTCATTTTACCGACCTTGGAAGGATGGGAGACTGAGTCAACCTTGAGTTGAACTCCTGGCTGTGGGCAGAGTTAGCCTGCAACACTGCATTCTAACCATTGTGTTACCATTGTCATATGGACAAACCTTAGTGCCCCCAATACTGGATGCACCATTGCACTCTGGGCTGTTTGAAATTTTCAGACGCTTTTCACGAGCGGTCCCGTGTAGAGTGATTGCAGTAATCCAAACAGGATTGATTAAAAATGGGAGTGAACAAGAGCAGAACCTCCTAACCCAGGCCAACTGAGGCATAAAATGGATTTGTGCAAAAGCCCCGCCAGCTATGACTACCACCTGCTCCTCAAATTATGAGTCCAGGAGGGCTTCCGGATTGCATACCAGTTCTGTCTGGGGAAGTGCTGCCCCATCTAAAGTTATACATGTCATAGCTCCAAAACCAAGGGGCTCAAAAACGCAGACGCTTAGTGTTGAGTTGCAATCAGTTTATCCTTGTTTGTGCCCTCACCACTTCTAGGCGTTGGGTAAGTGCCTTGAAGCCATCACTTGTACAGTCTGAGATGGCCCAACTAAGGGAATTCTGCATATCTTTTCTACTTCCTCTGGAACTCAAGTAGCATTAAAAGGAACAAGCTGCACCGTCGAAAATTACATTCCATCTGGAAGGTTGCTAGTCCATCTGCTTTGAAATTCTGTACAGCCTCTTAAAGGAAGCTCGGAGAAGCTGTTCCCCTGAATTGCTATTTTCCGTCTAGTGAGCTCTTGATAGCAATGCTAGGGTGTTAACCGGAGATCATCTCAGAGATGTTTTTCACTGCTTCATAGCATCCTCCTAGAACAGGGGTTCTCAACCTTGGCAACTTTAAAACTTGTGGACTTCAACTCCCAGAATTCCTCAGCCAGCAAAGCTGGCTGAGGAATTCTGGGAGTTGAAGTCCACAAGTCTTAAAGTTGCCAAGGTTGAGAACCCCTGTCCTAGAAAGCCTTGGAAAAGTGAAAAGTGTGTGCCTTAGTATACTTTGCATGCTAAATGTCCTTGTCTCCTGTTAACACTTGAGCGATTTGTCAGGATCAGTGCACTTAATACTGGTAAAGCATCACTGCCCATTTTATTCCAGTATAATGGAGAAACAAGGCCGTCTCCTTGCCGTCTAGAGCAAAAGATTCTCGTGGAGGGTAGCTGCAGTTTAACATTATGGGAAACTGGCAACAGTACAGTTTTTGTAACAGAACCAATTACTTCCCCTGGCCTTCACTGCATACCTGAGATGGATTAGACAATAGTGGGGATGGAGGAAAAAGACGGCTAATATCTGTCTCATTTTGTTAGATAGCATAAAGGGACGTTTCAGACATGCAAATTGGATATTTTTAGATGCAAAGTAGTGTTAACTTATGATAAGCTGCAGGAGGAACCAAATCTTTGAAGGACCATCTTTTGCCAGTCACATCTACCTGACCCACTAGAGTGGGGAGGCAGGGATTGTTTTGGGTCCTCAGGAGGTCCATCTAGCAGGTCAAAGGAGAAGGGCCTTCTCTGTGGTGGCTCCCTCCCTGTGAAATATCATCCCCTTGGAGATAAGATTGGCCCTTACTTTGACAGTCTATTGCAAGGCCTTGAAGATCTACTTTTGCCAATGGGGCTGGGGATCCCAGAGTGGGATGGAGCCCATAGATGATTCATTTGACTTTGTTGCCAGAGTGGTGGGGGCTTATTGACTTTTTTATTGTTTTTGTATTGGGCTTTTATCCTTGTTAGCTGCCCGGAGTCACTGACAGTGAGTTGTGCGGCCACATAAATTTTGTCAAATAAATAAATCTTTTGTTTAGCAAATAGAAATCTTCCAACCACTTTTATTTTCCAGTCCTCTTGCTTGATGGGAGAATTCTGAAAACTCAATTTTTTTCAGCCATTTTTTACAACTTCAGATGACCTACGAAGATACTACCTCTATGCATTTAGGTTTTGAGTCTCATGGTCAGCTCAGCTATGATAGCTTTAACAAATCTTGGGTTTTGAAATCTCCCTCTTCTTTCCCTTCCACTTGTTCTGTTTTGAATGTTTGCACTAGGTCTGGGGTAGGCAACCTTGGCTCTTTTATGACTCGTGGACTTCAACTCCCAGAATTCCTGAGCCAGCCATGCTGAGGGGAAAGGGAGAGGTTTCCAAGCTGAGCCGTGCTGGCTCAGGAATTCTGGGAGTTGAAGTCCACGAGTCATAAAAGAGCCAAGGTTGCCTACCCCTGACCTAGGTAAAACATTTTGGATTCTTAGAATGTTCAACCTTTCTCTTGTTTTTCCTCAGAACAAATTGATGCTCTAGCTGATCAGCACATTGTCCATGTGGCCTGCGGTGAGTCTCATAATGTGGCTCTTAGCGACCAAGGCCAGCTTTATTCCTGGGGCGCAGGAAGTGATGGTCAGTTGGGCCTTACAACAACGGAAGATGCTGTAACAATTCCAAGGTAAATATGAGAGATTATGCTTGTGGGACTTTTCCTATTCTTATGGAAGATTGCAGATACATTCAAGTGATTTCAAGGAAATCTGTTTTTCCATAAAAAAGGTGGAAGACAGTGGAAGATTGCAGATATGTTAGCAGAGGGATAGACTCAAGATCACGTGAAATATTAATGCCACTCTATAATATCTTAGTAAGGCCACACTTGGAATACTGCATCCAGTTTGGTCGCCACGATGTAAAAAAGATGTTCAGACTCTAGAAAGAGTGCAGAGAAGAGCAACGATCAGGGGACTGGAGGCTAAAACATATAAGGAATGGTAGCTGGAATTGGGTATGTTTAATTTAATGAAAAGAAGGAGTAGGGGTGACATGATAGCAGTGTTTCAATGTCTAAGACATTGTCATAAAGAAGAGGGAGTCAAGCTATTTTCCAAAGAACCTGAGGGCAGGACAAGAAGCAACGGATGAAAACTAATCAAGGAGAGAAGCAACCTAGAACTAAGGAGAAATTTCCTGACAGTTACGACAATTAATCAGTGGAATGGCATGCCTTCAGAAGTTGTGGGTGATCCATCACTGGAAGTTTTTAAGAAGAGATTGTACAGCCATTTGTCTTAAATAGTATAGGGTTTCCTGCCTGAGCGAGGGATTGGACTAGAGAACCTCCAAGGTCCCTTCCAACTCTGTTATTCTATTACATGCAAGTGATTTCGTGGACATCTGTTGATTCATTTTAATTTCCACTGTGATATTTGGGGCTTTCAGTACATGATCACATTTAATAAAAGGTACTCCTTTTTTTCTTGTTTTCTTTTAAAATCCAAACCGATAATGTTTTAGGACTCTGATAATATTGTCTAAACTAGTCTCACTGTCACAGCCTCTTTAATAGAGAGGATAATAATGAAGGCTAGATAAATTATATTACAAAGTCTACAACTTTGTTAAAGTGTGTAATTTGTTTTGTTTTCTTAGGCTAATAAAAAAGCTGAATCAAGAGATGATCCTACAGGTCTCCTGCGGCAACTGGCACTGTCTAGCTCTAGCAGCTGGTATGACCATTTTAACATTTAATCATTCAACTTTTCTTACTAGGGTTGTAACATTATTAAATTAAAGAAGTTTGTACTCCATGATAATCTCAGTTCTGGGAAAAGTTTCAAAAAGAGGATAATCCTCACTTCTTTTTCAGAAGATACGGTTTCTAAAAATAATAATTCTCTGTAATATCTGAAATGTACTACTTTCAACCATAGGACTTCTCAAACGTACCCCTATTCGGCACGCTACAGATAGTTCTTGACATACAACTGTAATGGAGATATAATGGCTGGGGAATTCTGGGAACTGAAGTCCACAAGTCTTAAAGTTTCAAGGTTGGACACCTTGCACTAGACCAGGGGTAGGCAACCTTGGCTCTTTTATGACTCGTGGACTTCAACTCCCAGAATTCCTGAGCCAGCCATGCTGAGGGGAAAGGGAGAGTTTCCAAGCTGAGCCATGCTGGCTCAGGAATTCTGGGAGTTGAAGTCCACGAGTCATAAAAGAGCCAAGGTGGCCTACCCCTGCACTAGACCAAACTGGCTCTCTATGATTCTCTCTTGATATAAGATGGATAGCTGTATAAATGTTTTAAATAAATAACATGTTAGTTTTTCTCCATGGGATTGCAGTATAAATAGTCCTCGACTTACGATCACAACTGAGCCCAAACTTTTTGTTGTTAAGTGGAACATTTGTTAAGTGAGCTTTGCCCCCATTTCATGACCTTCTTTGCCACAATTTTTAAATGAATCACTGCAGTTGATAAGTTAGTAACATGATTATTTAAATGAATCTGGCTTCCCCATTGACTTTGCTTGTCAAAAGGTTGCAAAAAGTGATCACGTGACCCTGGGACACAGCAACTGTCATAAGTATGAACCAGTTGCCGAGCATCTGAATTTTGATCACATGATCCTGGGGGATGCTACAAAGGTGGTAAGTGTAAAAAAAATCGACATAAATCACTTTTTTTCTGTGCCGTTGTAACTTTGAATGGTCACTAAATGAACAGTTGTAAGTCAAGGACTACCTGTATGCTGGGAGGTGAAAAAGGATTGTTTGTTTTCTGAGCTGTAGGTTTTATTTCTCTCCCCCCCAGATGGACAGTTCTTCGCGTGGGGACAGAACAACTATGGACAGCTTGGGCTGGGTAAAGAATTCCCTTCGCAGGACACTCCTCAGCGTGTCAGATCGCTCGATGGGATCCCTCTGTCTCAGGTGGCTGCAGGTGGAGCACACAGCTTTGCTTTGTCCCTCTCAGGAGCTGTGTTTGGCTGGGGGAAAAACACCTCCGGACAGCTGGGTTTGAGTGACGAGAAAGGTACATAATAATAATAATAATAATAATAATAATAATAATAATAATAATAATAATAATAATAATAATAATAATAAGAACAACAACAACAACAACAACAACAACAATAAAAAGTTGGAAGGGACCTTGGAGGTCATCTAGTCCAACCCCCTGCTCAGACAAGAAACCCTATACCATTTCGGACAAATGGCTGTCCAATCTCTTCTTAAAAACTTCCAGTGTTGGAGCATTCACCGCTTCTGGAGGCAGGTTGTTCCACTGGTTAATTGTTCTAACTGTCAGGAAGTTTTTCCTTAGTTCTAGGTTGCTTGTCTCCTTGCTTAGTTTCCACCCGTTGCTTCTTGTCCTGCCTTCAGGCCCTTTGGAGAATAGTTTGACTGCCTTTTCTTTGGGGCAACCCCTGAGATATTGGAACCCTGCTATCGTGTCACTCCTCATTCTTCTCTTCATGAAACGAGACATACCCAATTCCAGCAACCGTTCCTTATATGCTTTAGCCTCCAGTCCCCTACTTGTGACAAACATCCATAAAAGATGTTTTTTTTATTCAGATTTTGCAGAATCTGGAGTTTCTAACTCCATTCTTCTGTTTTTCTCAGAGATTTCTTTATGCCTCTGCTCTCAGCACAAGCATGTCTGGGAATGGCTACAGAAATGGGAAGCAAGAGAGGGAGATTTTAAGGAGATGAAACGCTTTCTTTCTCTTTTCTGTCTAGTTCAGATACTTAAAGTCCACAAAACCATCTCTGTGTATGTGATCAGCCTGGGGGAATTGACGTGAGCACAACTGTGTAGTTGGGCCTGTATTTTACTTTAGTGGAATGAGTTAGAACATTGCCACTGTGCTTGTCCAAATCCTTTGTGAAAAGCAAACTCAATCAAAATTTTACAGTCCCACATAAGAATTTTACACTCCTGTAGCAGCCTGGGTTTGAATGTGGATCCTCCTTATCTCTTGTACCCAAATGGAGCATGCAAAAAAGACACTGTGATTTATGTAATCAGGTGTCCCAGACTATTTAATGTGTTTCTTCTGTAGCAGAATGGACCATTTGAACTGCTAAATCCTAGACACATCTTTCAGCTGCTTTTTATTGTTTATTTTTTGAGAAGAGTATCTATAGCAATAATAGTTTATTTTACTCGGTTATTTCCGAAGCAGCCTGCTTTGTTTTTGTAAGTAATTTTATACTCTTTAATGCAGATCGGGAATCTCCTTGCCATGTGAAACTTTTAAGGACTCAAAAAGTTGTCTACATCAGCTGTGGAAATGAACATACTGCTGTCTTGACAAAGGTAGGAGAACATTTTTAAAATATTGGCTTCGTGTCTAAGGCAGGATTATAGTTGATTATAAATTGATTAGGTGGGTGTGGCCCATTGGGTGGGCGTGGCTGTGGTGGTAACGGCAGACTGGGTGGGACTGAAAAGTTCAATCAATCAATTTCAACTTTGCGAGATCTTTTTTTTCCCCGCAAGAAGTTGAAATTGATTGATTGATTGATTGAACCTTTTTTTTTTTTTTGCACACGGCGGCAGAGGCCTAAAGCGAAAAGGTTTTATAAAACCCAGCTGAAGGCATAGGACTGGGGCAATGGCACGCGTGCTCACAGAGAGGGCTCTGCGTGCCACCTGTGGCACGCGTGCCATAGGTTCGCCACCACGGGCATAGATTAATTCCAAGGTTAACATCAGACCAACAATCAAGTAAACAATACCCCAGGCAAGAAACTGCCAAAGAAGCCAATAGCAAACAGCCCAATCAAAGAATCTCTTCAGATCCCCCCACACCAACACTGATAGGCAAGCCACCAGAATATAAACTGACAGCAAACAGCACTCCTTACCAGCACTAATGATGTTACCTAATTTGGATAATTAAATGTTTGCAAGAAAACAGAGCAATCTCCGAGAGCACCAAGCACCCCTCATGTCAACTCTGAGCTACAAATATTTTCCTTTATAGCTTGTTCAGTGGTGGCGAACCTATGGCACGCATGCCAGAGGCATCACTCAGAGCCCTCTCTGTGGGCACGCGTGCCATTGCCCCAGCAGAGTTCACCAGAGTAGCGAGCATGTGGCGTTTGGAAGCGACAGGGCAGGAAGTGAGCGAGCAAGCGGTGATCCCCCGGGGATGCCCCAGAGATGGCGAGGGACTGGCCATGCTCACCCAGTCTGCCGTGACCACTGCAGCCACGCCCACCCAGTGGGCCACGCCCACCCACCCATCCCCCTGAGGGCACCACAATGCTGATGCAACCTTGGCACTTTGCGATAAATAAGTGGGGTTTGGGTTGCAGTTTGGGCACTCGGTCTCTAAAAGGTTCGCCATCACTGGCTTAGTTCTTTGTTTAAGGCCTAAAAAATATACAGTGCTTCCTTTTGCATAATTTAAAATTATTAAGTTAAAATCATTGAATTCAAAAGTTTGTATACGATGTTGTTGGGATGTCTATCAGAACTGTTGGGTTAAGTCTTTTGAAAAAGGAAATTATTTGGTGTCAGTGGATGCTTTACTCTTAAGTGAAAATGTTCTTGTGATCTCTGTTGCAGAGTGGAGGAGTGTTTACCTTTGGTGCAGGGTCATGTGGGCAACTTGGTCATGATTCATTGAATGATGAAGTCAACCCTAGAAGAGTTTTGGAGCTGATGGGCAGCGAGGTGTCCCAGGTCGCTTGTGGTAGGTGAGTGGTCTTTTGGGCAAATCTTTCGCAAGGCCAAAGATTCTCAGCCTTGGTTAAACAAATGGAAAATAAAATTCAGAGGAAAGTGATCTCAAGAGAATTAATCAGCGATGTTGGATGCTCCTTATTATATGCTTAGTGTCCAAAACTGTTCACTTGGTTGATTCCTATTACCTTTTATCCCCGATGTATTTGGAATGGGAAAGAGGGACACATCTAAATCTGGAGAAATTGCAGATTTAGATATTTGATTTAATCTGCTAATGGACAGAGATTATAAACCTCGTCTTCGCAGCCCGAAAAGTCAGACCCATTTGTAATGGCATTTTTTGCAATACTAAATATTTGTTAATTTTAAATTAATAATAAATAATAATTTTAAGTACTGTATGTTGGAGAAATACATTGTTTTCATACCATTGAAATAGTTTAAAAGAAAACGGACAAATTGGAATGATGTTGCTCTGTAATATGGCATCTGCTTCGACCATCATCTTCGACCACCATTTTACTTTAAAATTTTGTCAGCTTTACTTTTTTTTCTATTTAACCAACATGTTGAATCAAAGTTGAAACACTGATACAATAATGAACAAGCAGAGGCCTAGCCTCTTACTTCTGTTCAGGCCACACTGTGAAGCAGGCAACACAATTTAGAGCACGGGTGTCAAACTACCAGCCCGTGGACCGGATGCATCATAGCGAAACTGCGCCTACCCCATTGCCGGCAATGGCAAAAAAGTTGCGATGCGTCACAACACGTCACGTGACGTTGCAAGTTTGACACCCCTGATTTAGAGGAAGCTATAGTGGAATCCTGGATGGAATGAAGTTGGTTATGGCTTATAATGGCTTTCCAGAATCTGGAACATTGCGCTGAGCTGGGCAGTAGCCATGTTGCTTGGGATCATACAAATGAATTGTCCACAGCTAGCAGACGCCAAGATGGAGAAGGCGAAGTTGTTGGGTCAGAGGGTGATCTGTAAGGAATGCAGAAATTTTTTCACTCTTAAAAGATTGGGAAAGATATGTCCTTAGGCAAATGATTTTAAGAATTCCCGCAGGATGTTCTTCTCTGTGGTTCCTACAGAGCCTTAATAATAATAATAATAAAGTTGAAAGAGACCTTGGAGGTCATCTAGTCCAACCCCCTGCTCAGGCAGGAAACCCTATACCATTTTGGACAAATGGCTGTCCAGTCTCTTCTTAAAAACTTTCAGTGTTGGAGCATTCACCGCTTCTGGAGGCAGGTTGTTCCACTGGGTAATTGTTCTAACTGTCAGGAAGTTTCTCCTTAGTTCTAGGTTGCTTCTCTCCTTGATTAGTTTCCATCCGTTGCTTCTTGTCCTGCCTTCAGGTGCTTTGGAGAATAGCTTGACTCCCTCTTCTTTGTGGCAGCCCCTGAGATATTGGAATACTGCTATCATGTCCCCCCTTCGTCCTTCTCTTCATTAAACTAGACATACCCAATTCCAGCAGCCTTTCCTTATATGCTTTGGCCTTTGTAGTCTCTTCTTTAGCAATGCCTCTTGAAAATTTGGGAAAGGGATGATGCGTTTTGCATTGCCCAACTTGGCCTACCTTTTTTCTTGAAGAATGTTATTGCGAGAGGTATTTACCAAGTTATGCTTTATTTGCTACTTTCAAGGTCCCCATTGTATTGCTCTGTAGGACTTAATCACCTTAGAACAGTCATCAATATTCTATCAGTTCTGAAGCTGGTCGTGATGGTAGTAGAAGGAACCACTGCAACAAGGATGGGGGTGGGGATCTGTTTTTTTCTATCTTACAAATGTAACTAGCAATAGCATTCAGACTTATGTGTCTCCCCATAGTGCTTTACAGCACTCTCTGGGTGGTTTACAGTGTCAGTATATTGCCCCCAACAATCTGGGACCTCATCTTAACTGACCTTGGAAGGATGGAAGACTGAGGATCAAACTCTAGGATGTGAGCAGAGTTTGCCTACGATACTGCAGTTAACCACTGCACTACCAAATAGACAAATGGCTAGGGAGAGAAAAAAAGGGTTCTCTTTCATGTTCAATTTTGCACTGAATATAGTTGGTTATCGAAGAAGACTACTTTACAAACAGTTTGATTATTTTGATGTTTTCAGACAGCACACTCTAGCCTTTGTGCCTTCTTCAGGAATGATCTATGCATTTGGCTGTGGAACTAAAGGCCAGCTGGGAAATGGACATGTCTGCAGTCTTAAATGTCCTTCTCCAGTCAAAGGCCACTGGGCAGCTTATGATGAGCAGATCTCTGGTAGAGCAGGTAAGTGACTAGAATTGTATTTGTTTATTTAGCGTACGGTGTTGTTACATTAGCCAGAAGCCTACAATGCTAATGAAGAGTAGTGGTTTGGCTGCCTGTTTACCAGCTCTGTCAGGTGCACATTTATGTGCTTCCCATGGTGCACCACAAGAGGATGAGCTAACTTCGCACCGGAAAGAAAGATGAGCGGCTTTCCTTACAGCCTCATCCAAGGCCCCCCTCTCGCCTCCCGGAGCCTCCTCGCAAACAGGTATCACAGCCAGAAAGATTCAGAGTTGGCAAGATTCTAACTGCCATATGAAGCGCTGCCTTGTCTCCTCACCAAAGTGGTACCTATTGATCTGCTCACATATAACATATTTTCAATCTGCTAGGTCAGTGGTGGCGAACCTATGGCACGGGTGCCAGAGGCAGCACTCAGAGCCCTCTCTGTGGGCACGTGCGCCGTCACCCCAGTCCTAGGCCTTCAGCTGGGTTTTATAAAACCTTCGCTTTAGGTCTCCGCCGCTGTGTACAAAAAAAAAAAAGATTCAATCAATCAGTCAATTTCAACTTCTCACGGAAAAAAAAGGTCTTGCAAAGTTGGAATTGATTGATCGAACTTTTTAGTCCCACCCAGTCTGCCGTTACCACCGCAGCCACGCCCACCCAATGGGCCACACCCAGCCAATGGGCCACACCCAGCCAATAGGCCACATCCACCCGGCACCCGACAATGCATAAGTGGGTTTTGGGTTGCAGTTTGGGCACTCGGTCTCTAAAAGGTTCGCCATCACTGTGCTAGGTGGGCAGAAGCTGAGGTGAGTGATGGGAGCTCACCCCACCACGCAGTGCCAGGGCTTGAACCACTGGAGCAGAGACCATCTCCAATGTCATTAAGCCGCTGAGCCACAACCCCTCTGGTGACTAGCAGAGAGCAGGATATATAGCATACTTAGCTTTTGGATCGCAAGCCCAACCCTTCAGGCTATATTAATTCTGGTTTCCAAAAGAAAGACAAATGGGATGTTTGTGATTGCTGATGTCTGATGGTTTTAACTAATTCTTGTCAATCTTCTTCAACAGAGGCCTGCACGTGTTATATTGTTAAACATATATTCTCTGGAGAAGACCAATCATTTGTAATTTGCTCAGAAAAAGAGGTAACATAAAGCTTTGTGGATTTCCACTCCATCTTTTATAGCTATGGGAAGGGAAATTCTGAATTGTGCCTAAAGACCATGGTGCCCCTTCCAGTGAGGGCTGAAGCTGATGCAACCCCTGTCCTGCTTTTTCTATGAAGAGCCCCCCCTCCCCTGAAATTATGCTGCTCTAGTTTTGGATAAAGCAAACATACTAATTAGATCTACCTCTAATAGGTTTAAATAATTCCCAATCTTGAAAGAAGAGGCAGCAAAGTGTATCCCAGCACCAGGATCACAGTATCACTTGCACCAATACTAAATTGCTCTCTCTCTCTCTGCAACTTTCAGCTGCAAAACCAAGATCCATAAGAGCAGAGAATTATCTGGCTTGAATCTTTAATCCAGGGGTGTCAAACTGCCAGCCTGCGGGCCGGACGCGTCATCCGGAAGCCGCGCCCACCCCATTGCTGGCAATGGCAAAACGGTCCTGATACGTTGCGCGACGTCACGTGACGTCACGAGTTTGACATGTCTGCTTTAGTCTTAAATGCAATTAAGGGAATAAGGCAGTATTTCTCAACCTTGGCAACTTTTAAGATGTGTGGGCTTCAATGCTGCTGACTGGGGAATTCTGGGAGTTGAAGTCCCAGAAGTTGCCAAAATTGAGAAACCTTGGAGTAAGGAATATAGACAGATGCATGAAGTGAAATGGGAAGAATCCACGAAAAAGTAAGTGTGGGTGAATGGTATATACAGCTAGTCCTCGACTTAACGACCACAATTGAGCCCAAAATTTCTGTTGCTAAGTGAAACGTGAAGTGAATTTTGCCCCATTTTACCAGCTTTCTTGCCGCAGTTGTTAAATGAATCACTGCAGTTGTTAAGTTAGTGACATGGTTGTTAAGAGAATCTGGCTTCCCCCATTGACTTTGCTCATCAGAAGGTTGCAAAAGGGGATCACATGACTCCGGGACACTGCAACCGTCGTAAATATGAATCAATTGCCAAGCATCTGAATTTCGATCACGTGACCATGGGGATGCTGCAATGGTTGTAAGTGTGAAAAACATCATAAGTCACCTTTTTCAGTGCTTTGAATGGTCACGACACAAAGTAAGTCGAGGACTACCTGTAATCTATGTGTACATTGTCCAGGATTATGAACTGCACATTTGCTTGGAGGAGGGGAAATGTGCCCACAGAGAGGAATCCAGGCCAAATCTTGCCTCCAACCCCGGGGAGTGACTCTCACTGTAACAAAAGCACCAGATGTCTCTGGTGCTCCTCCCGTTCAGAGTGAAACCCTCTTTGAAATCTGCGCCTTCTTACAGAATTCTCTACCAGCTGATGATTTCCGGACTGTAAACCAAAGTGACCATACCTGTTTGATTAATGACAACACAATAGACATGTGGAGGCAAAAGCTTTGTGAAAGAAATAACTCTAATTCAGCGAAGTAGGTTCACTTCCGTTCAATTTGTAAAGAATTATTGGGATGGTGGGCAAGGACATAGTCTATGGCTTTGTTGGTGATACCTTCTTTGTTGACTTGTTGAATCAATCTAAACTACTTTCCAAATGATAATCAGTTCCACAAATTGTGGATTGGTGGTTTAGCAGCTCTTTTGACCTCATGGTATCCCATGTTCAGCCTGGTACTTTTAACCACTATACCAAACCGGGTCTCTTAATGATATAATACTTAACTCATACGTAAGGGTATAATTTAGAGCAGGGGTAGGCAACCTTGGCTCTTTTATGACTCGTGGACTTCAACTCCCAGAATTCCTGAGCCAGCTGTGATCAGACTACCCCTGATTTAGAGGAATGGTGTCAAGAGAATCTTCAACATGTTTTAATGGTGTGGCATAAAGATTTTTTTCTGAGCCATCAGATTTTTAGCCCAAATATTTTTAATCATTTATCAAATTAACTAAAGAACCCATTTGGTATTTCTAGATTAGTTGTGTGTGGTATGTTTTAAGTCAGTGTGTTAAGAGTAAAGGCAATTAAAAAGATTAGAGGAGAAAAGGTGAATAACAATTAGGTTCAGTTACTGCATTAATCCATAATCTGATTTGGTTACTTTTGGGTATCATGTCATATGAACTCAAGTTTGTTAGAATTTGTGAATAGTGTTTTATAGCTTATTATGTAAACACAGCCGATTTCAGCTATGTCAGGAAACCATGGACAAGCAAATTAAGGCAGTGTATGAAAAATTACATGTGATTCCTAAACAATATAAAGCTTTAACCAGTTTCCTTGTCTTTTGCTTACTTGCATTTTGCCCGTGCTAAGCAGCGAGGTGGTGCAGGTCTTATCTTCAGCAGCTTGCTGGAACGGAAGCTTCCTTGAAAAGAAGTAAGTAGCTTAAAATGGAATAAAGAAATATTTGGCTAACTTTCCAGTTTACTTTTTGAAATGTTAAGTGACATTTCTGTTGCTAAGTGAGACAATTGTTAAGTGGACTTTGCCCCATTCTTGCTATAGTTATTAAGCGAATCACTGAAGTTGTTAAGTTAGTAACACGGCTGTTAAGTGAAATCTGGCTTCCCCTTTGATTAAAATTATCCAAGTTACTCTCCTGGTTTATTGTTTGCATGCCCTCTTTAATTATTAAGCCATCAGCCAGTTTCTTTTTAAACTCTAATATAACATCTTTTTACGTGTCATTCTTGTAGTCTGTCACTTGTAAATCCATTTTCAACACAATCTTAATTAGGTAGAATGCGATCCTCTGTCATAATATATTTTAGACACAATCTTTCCATAGAGGCAGATGTCTCTGTTGACAGTATTTAAAAATAACCTCTGAGCCCATTGTTCAAAAATATTCTTCATTATATTCAATGTTAGACTACTCTGGTTCCATAGCTTTCTTATACAAGGAAGAGGAAGGATTTAAAAAAAAAAGGGGGGGGGGGAAGCAATGCATCTCATGGAGATGGGGCAGTAAGATTTTGGCTGAACTGCCATGTTGCCAGAAGTTTCTGTGACCAGACTGGTTGACATGGACTTCCAGGGACTGCTTATCTCTATTGTCTGTGTTGTTATGGCAATAGTACTTAAGTTTCAGAAGCTATGTTTAGCTCTCTATATCTGTATGCTTTAGCAGGAATTGGTAAAAATATGTGATTAAGTGGAGCCTGTCAAGAGAACATCAGCTGTAGTTGCAGCTGCTAATAACTGACTCAGTAGTTTACTTGCAAGCTCACCAATAAGAAGCATGAGGTTGGTATTTGGTACTAAAACTCATTAAAATTCTCTTTCATTGCAAAATATTGTAGACCAGGGGTGTCAAAACTGCCGGCCCGTGGGCCGGATGCGTCATGCCGAAACCGCACCCATCCCAGCTCCGGCAATGGGAAAAAAGTCGTGATACGTCGCGACATGTCACGTGATGTTGCGAATTTGACACCCCTGTTGTAGACACTAAGTTGTGGAGACATCTAATACAATCCATCAGATATATATGATTCAGTTATATTATTTGTAATATTGCAGATTCTTTTGCTGGTCTCCTCATATCTAATAAGAGAGTGTCATTCGGTATTAAGATTTGTTCCATTCCATCATAAAGAGACTTATCAGAATTGCTTTAGTGGATCAATTTTTTGATCCATTTATTCCACTTGTGGGCACAATTTGCTCTAGGCTAAGGATTACATTTTGGTATGATAGTGTTTCTGCCTTCAAAATTGAGCAAATCTGAAGGGGAAAAAAACACCTAAATTTGAGAAAATATAAAGTTATATCTCCTTATTAAGGAAAGGTGAACTACTTTAAATTCAAGCTGCTTTGAATCCATTGATTGTTCCATATATGGAAAATATGCTCTGAATTCAAAACATTTTCAGTTGACCTTTATACATTTGAAAGCCATTGTAACTGACTGGATTCTTACTGGAATTTAGGAAAATAGAATAATCCTGAGAAAAATAAAAACTCCTTGATCTTTGGTTCCTGATCAGAGACTTTTTGCTACTTTGGATAGGATTCCACTCCTGTAAATGATATCTGTATGAGAACTTTTGGTCAGACATATTTATAGGTTGTAAGCTAAAATACTGGCTTGCTGCTTTTACATTCAGTACATTGCATGCCTAAAATCTCCGCTTTAAAGAAAACGTGATATAAATTTGCTTAAATTCTTTTCTAGAATAGATGAACATTTTAAAACGAGTCCCAAAATTCCAGGGATTGACTTGAATTGCACCAGAGTGATGTTTAATAAGCTAATGACATCTCAGCATTCTACACTGCGTGACCAGGTACTGAAACTTCCTGTAGAAGTGTTAAGGCAAATGTTTGCTTCCTTCTGAGATTTTTTAAGAAGAAATCTCAAAAGTTTAAACTATTTTCCTCAACTTGCTTCCTGGTAGATTGTGAGAATGTCTAGAGCAGGGGTAGGCAACCTTGGCTCTTTTATGACTCGTGGACTTCAACTCCCAGAATTCCTGAGCCAGCCATGCTGAGGGAAAAGGGAGAGGTTTCCAAGCTGAGCCACTCTGGCTCAGGAATTCTGGGAGTTGAAGTCCACAAGTCATAAAAGAGCCAAGAGCCTACCCTTGGTCATCTAGGGGACATTAGGTTGAGAAAGCTTGAACAGAAACTTCAATTTGCATTAGTGCAAATTAAGCTGTTAGGATTAATTCTGGCACAATCATATCAATTGTTTCCCCTTGATAAGTGAAAACAGAATTATGCATTTTACCTCTAACACATGTCTGGATACTCATCCCATTGTTTTTTTTTCCTGACAGTATTGAAATTTGAAAAAAAAAAAGAGTTTAGAAAACAAGTCCAAATTAGTATCCATCCATCCATGAAGCAAATCCAGACTTGAGCTTTTGAGAACTTGCCACACAGATACCTACAGAATCATTTTATCAATATGATGAAAGCAGTGATGCACCAAAAATAACAGGATAACATGGTTGGAAGGGACCTTGGAGGTCATCTAGTCCAACCCCCTGCTCAGGCAGGAAAACCTATCCCATTTCAGACAAATGGTTGTTCGATCTCTTCTGAAAAGCCTCCAGTGTTGGAGTACCCACAACGTCTGGAGGCAAGTCGTTCCACTGATTAATTGCTATGTCACCATTGTGACATAAGCTCCAATTCTTTTTTGTAAGTGGGGCTTATATTACGACAGCACGTCATCTCCACTAGGTAAACCAGACCAGGAAATAAATTTCACAAGAAGGCTAAAACTTTTATAAAGATTGGCTATAATAACAGAATTTTGCAATTCTGATGGTATTGTACCTCCTTCCCCTCTTTATAGTTCAGTGAATTAGGGAGGTGTTTGCCCAAGACACTTCTGAATGTCATGACTGTTTTGGACTTTAAAAATGTCTCAGCTTTTGTTGCTTAAAGGTACTTTCCTACATATCTCTGTCAAGGCCATCTCCTTTACCTTATACCAGTGGTGGCAAACCTATGGAACGGGTGCCAGAGGCGACACTCAGAGCCCTCTCTATGGGCACGCACGCCGTCGCCCCAGTCCTAGGCCTTCAGCTGGGTTTTATAAAACCTTTTCACTTTAGGTCTCCACTGCTGTGGGGAAAAAAAAAAAGGTTCAATCAGTCAGTCAATTTCAACTTCTTGCGGGGAAAAAAAATCTTGCAAAGTTGGAATTGATTGATTGAACATTTTAGTCCCACCCAGTCTGCCATTACCACCGCAGCCACGTCCCCAATGGGCCACGCCCAGCCAATGGGCCACACCCACCTGGCACCCGACAATGCATAAGTGGGTTTGGGGTTGCAGTTTGGGCACTCGGTCTCTAAAAGGTTCGCCATCACTGCCTTATACATAACATAACACTATTCTTTAATTTATTTATTTATTACCTATCAAATTTCTATGCTCTCCATCTCCGCTAAGTGACTCTGGGTAGACATTTGTCTCCCTTTGCCCTTTCCCATGAGGGAATTTCCATCTCCATTTACTTAATTTCTTTGTTCATAACAGTCCTTCAAACTGAGGCTTGTAGTTATAAATGTGTGCACTAGCCTTCCCAACGTATCTGATGTATTCCACATATGTTAGATTTCATCTTTTAGAATCTGTCCTAGCATTATCATGAACTGGGAAAATGAGCTTGTTGACTTTTTCTAAAATTGTCCTAGGAATTATTTACGGGGAAATAATTGAGTTGACAATGGAAGGCAGTTGCTGGGAAACTCTCCAAAAATCATTCGGATATTTGGCTAATATTATGGATTTGATCGATCATGAAAGGTTTATCACTGTTCTTCCAACTCAAAGCTTCTTTGCTATAGATTGTGTCAACTTCTGATGTTGATTGCACAAGAAAAAGAGTGATAGAACATTGGAAAGGGAGTGTGCATATGTGCATATATACACATAAATTCCCTCACTTGCCAAAACTGTAGCAATGACTTATTGAGAAAACAAACTTTTGTCTTTCTTTCTCTGATGTTTCCCTGCAGGAAATATTTTGTTTTACCAAACCATTTTGTACAAGACCCACGTCATGCAGCTTCTTAGTCTTTTTTTTTTAATTTGGTGCTATCAGTGCAATTCCAGTGGGTAAAGTAGTTGTGTGGATTGTGTCACAGCTCATTCATTACCCCGTTGACACCATCCTGCCAGCAGAAGCAGCACACACCATAGCCCTACTCCTAGCTTCCCTGTGTTTACAGTATGGGGAAGATATGCTGGGACCAAATAAACTTACTGTATATAACCATACATAGCTACTGTGCTCCAAATCATTGTGAATTTTATACTGTATGGTTGTGCAAAGTGTTAACATTGACTTCAACTGAATGTGGTTATAGTTTTGTACCAAAGTTTCTCTTTGGGGACTAAAAGGGGCAGAACCCCCCTCTCCCTCCTCTTTATGGATAGGATTGTAGAACAATTGAGATGTCTCACATCTTCATAGTATTCAAAGGACCAAGTAAATAACTTACCTGTTTCAGTTTCTTGGGTTGAATTCCTGCTATCTGAATTAAGCTGTATTAAGTCCTAGAAACTACAAGCATGATAGAAGAGCTAGTAGTAAGAGCTATAATCCATGCCTAATTTTCTTTCTTCTTTTTCCAGATCTTGAAGAGCTTTGAAAGCTTTTTGATCCCCCAGCTGCCCAGCTCCCCGCCAGATGTTGAAGCCATGAGAATCTATCTGATTCTTCCGGAATTCCCTCTCTTTCAAGACTCAAAATATTATGTGAACTTAACGCTTCCTTTGGCAACGGCCATACTGCGTCTGGACAAAAACCCCAGTAAAGTTTTAGGTAGAAGATGTACACCTCTTTTCTGGGAAGGGACTGTCTTACACTGATTTGGGGACAAAATAAATCACAAATATGTTTTTGATCAACTTTGTGAAAATGCCAGGAAATACTGCCACTTATTCTTCAGGGCAGTTAAGTGTTCTCTTAAATTCCTTGATTAACTTGGGTTGAGAGTGAGAGCTAGGTTGTATGCAACGTCTACAGCACTTTCTTGGGGAGAGGACTTCCCTGTAGAGACCACGTAGTAATATTGTGGCCTTTCTTGGTTGTGGACATTGTCAATAGTGCTTTTAGGACATCACCTTCCATTTCACCCATCCTGACCATCACCTCAAACTTACTTGCATGTGGAGTAACCAATACATCTTTCCGGGGTGGGGGTGGGGGGGACAAAAAGGGCTGTTTTAAGAGGTCAGAAATAAGTAGATGAGATGAAATGAGAGATCCAGTGGTGGACAATTCACAGGACTCATTTTCTTCAGCTGTAAGTTGCTTTTTAGATGGCACTTCCAAATTGCTCCATTTCCTTGCATTTTTATTATCATTGAGAACCTTAACTGATACCTCACAATAATAATGCATGCAAATAGTCTCATCCAGTGTCCTTCAGATCTCTTCTAAATTACCCATTCCCTCATCTTTGTTTCATAATGCAAATATAAAAGAGAAGTTTGGTTGATGAAAGTTGAATCAAGAAGCTAAACAGGAGGCACCAAATGAACGATTTCCAAAATAGTGAAGGAAATAATGCCAAATTTCACTGTCCCTTTTAAGAAATTTTAATGTCCCCTTTGCAATATGGTGCATTGCTGTTGCCTGATTAATACCTGGGCGAAGGATGCTTTTCAATGATATAGGACTATTTTTTAGATGTTAATATGTAGGATATGACCAGGCTGAGCCTGAGGAAGGAATCAAACATGTCATCAGTCACGAGTCCTTTCGTGCCCACAAGAGATCTAAATCCAGCTCAGCTTGAATTCCATTTTATTCTTAACCTTGCTAATTTCCCATGACCGTTAGTTGGTCAGATTCTTGTAGAGAGCTTAAGCTTACAATAAAGTCAGATTCTTGTAGAGAGTTTAAGCTTACAATAAATATTTATACACATTTGCAATCCATTTTTTTTCTTGGATTTTTGTGATCCATTTTAGGATTCCACATACCAATACAGAGTCCATAGACAATATGGACTTTTTTTTTCTATTCAGGCATTTCAACAACATGATAATGTTAAAACTTATGGAAAGCATTCAAATTTAAGAGCGAAGTCTTTGGTTCATGTAGCAATTAAACCCGTTTGATTCAGGAGGATTCACTTCTCTAAGATTGAGTTACATCTAATATTTTTGATTTTTTCCCCAAAAGTACATCTCTTATCACATTGAAGATACTTGAGATCCTAGACCAGTGTTTCTCAACCCTGGCAGCTTGAAGATATGTGGACTTCAATTCCCAGAATTCCCCAGCCAGCTAACTCCCAGAATTCTGGGAGATGAAATCCACACATGAAGTTATCAAGGCTGTGAAACACTTTCATAGATCCTGCAGATAAAAAATGAGGACAGCAGCCATCATGTTGGTTTTTCATTCAATTTCCATGATTATAATACTGAAATCAATAACCCATTTTGCTTTATGTAATCTTATTTAGAAAACTGGTGGTCTCAGGTATGTCCAGAGTATTTCTTGAGGTTAGTGGATGTCTATAAAGATGCCGTGGTTTATCTCTTGAATGGAAAAAAAACACTGCAAATCCCGGTCTTGTATAGCAGTTACATCACAGCTGCATTAAAACTTCTGGAGAAATTACATAAAGTAAGAAAATAATTCTCTGAGTCTATACCTTGGTCTTCAGTGATGGTGATGCCCCTGGTTGTTTTTCCACAAAACATTTGTACATTGCAGGTTTGCATTGTATATATAGAATACCTTAAGTCCTGAATTGTATGATTTTCCATACTTGCAAAATATATAATGCAGGGTATAAATTTGAAGACCTTGCATATTTGACTATGTAGATTAATATTCATCTACATATATGGTTCAATAACTTGTGTTTGCCAAAGGGCATAAGATTTGTGGTGGACAGTATTGCCATAATTTTATTGTCTACAGCTTTTTAATTCCATTATTAGTAAATGCTACTTTTAAATTAAACTGAGTGAAAAATTGATTGATTGATTGATTGGTTGGTTGGTTGGTTGGTTAGTTGATTAAGTGCCATCAAATCAGTTTTGCTCTCAACGAATACATGGATAGATTTTCTTTAGAATAATCTGTCTGTAAATTGATTTTAGGACTCTTAGTGGCATTTTGATTGCTGTCAGTATATACCTACTTTGCCTTTCCTGAACCTATTTGAGAAATGAAAGAAGGAATGTCAGTGTTTATACATTTCCAAATTGTGCAAGATACTTTGGCAAAAAAAAGAAAGAAAGAAAAAAATATTTATTGAGGACAGATAATGAATAAATACTCTATTTTATTAGGAAAAATTATGTGAAAAATTGTTGAAAACAGGAATGCATTTTTGTGTTGACTTTGAAAAAATATTGTGCAAATTGATATGCAAACTGTAGACAGTCTTCCAGTTACGACCATTTGTTTAGCCACCATCCAAAGATAAGTGAAAAAAGTAACTTATGACCACTTACAATAGGAGTCTTCAAACTTGGCACTTTTATGACTTGTGGACTTCAACTGGCATGCTGGCTGAGGAATTCTGGAAGTTGAAGTCCACAGTCATAAAAGGTCCAAGTTTGAAGACCCCTGACTTACAACAATGGCAGCATCCTCATGGTCACATGATCAAAATCCGGGTGCTTGGCAACTGACTACAATAATTCACTTAATAACTGGGGGGGGGGAAGGTTGTACAATCAGGCATGCTTGATTCGACACCGCCCTTCTTAGCAATGGATGTTCTGGTCCCAATTGAGATCATAAGTCAAGGGCTTCCTGTAGAGGACACTAAATGGGAAACCAAATCTGGCAGAGTCTTCCTTTTTTTCAGTTAGCCTTCTTTTGGGAATTTGTAATGATTCTATGAAGAAATTGTTTATTGCGTTATTCTGATGTATTTGTTTTTTCTATATCAGGTAAATCAGAAAGCTAACCACATAGAATATGACAAATTTTATATCCCAGAGATTTCTAATCTGATAGATATTCAAGAAGACTACCTAATGTGGTTTTTGCATCAAGCAAAAGTGGTAAGAAGTTTCGTTTAATTGCCAAGCTAAATAATGCTCCTGGAACTAGTTAAATTAGAATGTTCTGTGCACCCTGAATCAAAATTAAACACTTTCCAACTGGGAATTCTGAAAAGTTTTTATGCAAGTTACTTGTATACCTATCATTTTGTTTCAAGATTTGACTACCTAGACCAGTGATGGCGAACCTTTTAGAGACCGAGTGCCCAAACTGCAACCCAAAACCCACTTATGCATCGTCGGGTGCCGGGTGGGTGTGGCCCATTGGGTGGGCGTGGCCCATTGGGTGGGCGTGGCTGCAGTGGTAATGGCAGACTGGATGGGACTAAAAAGTTCAATCAATCCATTCCAACTTTGCAAGATCTTTTTTTTCCCGCGAGAAGTTGAAATTGACTGATTGATTGAACCTCTTTTTTTTGCCTAAAGCGAAAAGGTTTTTAAAAACCCAGCTGAAGGCCTAGGACAGGGGCGACGGCGCGCGTGCCCACAGAAAGGGCTCTGAGTGCCGCCTCTGGCACCCGTGCCATAGGTTCGCCACCACTGACCTAGACTACGTCAAATAGTTAAGGAGAATGTGCAATAGATTGAAGAGGCAAAGCAGTAGTTAATAAATTAAAGGAACAGAACAGAATAACAGAGTTGGAAGGGACCTTGGAGGTCTTCTAGTCCAACCCCCTGCTCAGGCAGGAAATCCTATACTATTTCAGAAAAATGGTTGTCCAATCTCTTCTTAAAAACCTCCAGTGATGAAGCATCCACAACTTCTGAAGGCAAGTCTTTCTACTGATTAATTGTTCCCATTGTCAGGAAATTTCTCCTTAGTTCTAGGTTGCTTCTTTCCTTGATTAGTTTACACCCATTGCTTCTTGTCCTGCCTTCAGGTGCTTTGGAGAATAGTTGACTCCCTCTTTTTTGTGGTAGTCCCTCAAATATTGGAACACTGCTGTCATGTCACCCCTAATCGTTCTTTTCATTAAACTAGACATACCCAATTCCAGCAACCGTTCTTTATATGCTTTAGTCTCCAGTCTCCTAAAGGAGATGTAGGGTACTGGCATTTTTTTTAACCTATTCTTCTGAAAGAGTGAGGATATCTAAACCAGGGCGACCAACTTTGCAACTTTAAAATCTATAGACTTCAGCTCCTAGAATTCTCCATCCAGCCATGCTGGCTGGGGAATTCTGGGAGTTGAAGTCCACAAATTATGTGGACTTCAGCCTGACCAACCCAACAGAGTTGGTCTAAGAGGAAGAATAACATGTATGTATCCCATTGATATATGTATGTATACCATTCTTTAGAGCAGGGATCTCCAAACTTGGCCCTTTTATGACTTGTGGACTTCAACTCCCAGAATTCCTCAGCCAGGCACGCTGGCTGAGGAATTCTGGGAGTTGAAGTCCACAAGTCATAAGAGGGCCAAGTTTGAAGATCCCTGCTTTAGAGGAAGAGTAGAATAGAAAGTTAATCGATGATGCACTTGTTGGAAGCTCATGCTGTTTATATTTCTTTTTCTTCTCTCCCTTTTCCCTTACGCAGAAAGCAAGACCATCTATCATGCAGGTAAATATTCCAGTTCCTCTTGCCCAAGCAGTTCTCACTGGAATCTGAACCTGCCACCATTGAATTGAACTTTTCCTTCTTTCCAGGATTCTGTGACTCTCTGCTCTTATCCTTTTATCTTTGATGCACAAGCCAAGACAAAGATGTTGCAGACAGATGCTAAACTGCAGATGCAGGTATGCTGCCTTCTTTCAGTCTGTCTTATCTTTTCCTTCAGGAAACATTTGCTCCTCCAGACGGGATGATTGGCCACCTGCATCAGCCTTAACCAACATCACAAATGTATTTGGGGGCAATCGGCTGGAAACGTTAGTTTCTTCATTCAATCCAGGCTAAACTAGATGGATTGATTTGCCTTTGAAATAGATGGATCTTCATTTACATCAGTTGTGCACAATCTGAGTCACCTACAGTCCTTCCTATCTTGGACATGACTCCCAAAGTTTTGTCTTTTTTAGTGTGACAAAAAGGGAAAATTATGAAAATATAGCACTGCCTTTGTCATTGACAAAAATCACCATTGGTCAATTACAAAAGGCAACTTTACTCAGAACAGCTTACATCCTGTGATTATACCTTTAACACCATCAAAGATCCATATCTGCCTATCCCAAGTCCTTGGGAAGGTCTTGATAGGTGGACAAAAATGCCAAATCCAGTTTGAACATCTAGCTGTGCGACGAATTATAATAATTATAATACATGTCAATTAAATGAAATCAATTTTTGTGTGTGGCTACACTCACTATTTCCACTATTTCCTGGAGTGCAGTATCTTAGCAGGCCAAATAGGAGCTCATCTCAGATAAAAAGTTGCACATCCTGAGCTCATCTTTAGTGGAAATGTGATAAAATTTCAGATTTTGGAAGTAGATAATTAAACAAAACAAAATATAACTAAGCAGATCAAATTTCTCTGATTGTAGGTTTACTAAAGTGTTTGATGCATTGTAAATAAAAAAAAAATCTCTTGTTGGGATTCTATTTTTAGTAGCCAAATTAATTATTGCTAAATGTTAGAAATATCTAGACAATATCTCAAATGGATTGTTGATGTAATAAGAGTTGATTCATAGCATCGTTTTTTAATGCTTCTAGTTCTAGTTCATTGTTTGACGAAGTAGCAAATCATTGTTGCACAAGGAATGATGAGATTGTTGTTTAAATGAGAGATAGGCATCATTGTAACAATGTGCAGGTAGCCCTCAGCCCATGACAGGGGTAAGCAACCTTGGCTCTTTTATGACTCGTGGACTTCAACTCCCAGAATTCCTGAGCCAGCCAAGCTGGCTCAGGAATTCTGGGAGTTGAAGTCCACGAGTCATAAAAGAGCCAAGGTTGCCTACCCCTGGTTATGACAATACTTGAGCCCAACATTTCCAAAATAGGTCTTAAGGGAGTTGCATCTCATTTTTTTGACCGTTTTTGCCACAGTTGTTAAGGAAATCTCTGTTGTTAAGTGAATTACATGGTTGTTAAGTGAATCTAGCTTCCCCCATTAACTTTGCGTTTGGGAAGCCTGCTGAGAAAGTTACAAATGGGGATCACGTGACCCCACAACAGTGCAACTCTCATGAATACAGTTGTCTCAGTTGTCAAGTGCCCGAATTTTGATCACGTTGACACTGCAATGATCATAGGTGTGAAAATTGGTCATGTCCCTTTTTTTTAGTGCTGTTGTAACTTTGCTCTCTGTTAATCTGTTAATACTGTAAGGCTGTCTTTTAAGACAATGTGTACTTGCTAAAAACCTGGTTGTGTCTCCTTTTATTTTCTTTATAAACATTTATCTCCAGGGTAGAAAATGTAAAAAAAATGGGACGCTCTCTTCTTTAACCATGTGTGTCTACATTTCTAACAAACAGCCAGGAGGCAATGTAGAATCTTATGCCGTCCTTTTTGGAAATTATTACACTTTATACACTGTATGTGTAAAATACTGTGGTGCCAGAAGCGATCCTGGAAGGCAGAACAATACTTTTGCAGTATCTACAGCTGAATTCTGCCTTTTGCTGGATAGGAATCCATTCCTGAGTTACTGTTTGCATTTCCCAGGAGATGGCGCTGGTACAAAGAATAAGCTACCTTATTTTCCTCCAAAGAAAAGACTGCTTGAAAAAGAAAATTATGGTCTTTGGTATCTTCCCTGCCAACCTGTATGGTACTGATGAGGTTATTTGGAGAGAACCTAGGACAAAAGGACAAGTTAACTGTTTTTTACAAGATGTCTTAAAGACCAGTAGTCTCCGTTCCTTAAAGTTGAGCGTCTCTTAATAACTTCATAGACATGTAGATTTTTGTGGCAACAATATAGAAGAGGCATCCCAGAACCTTGTTTTTTCCCATTTGTTACTGTAGCCTACAAACTTATTTAGCTTCTGGTGGTCTCCCATCCTAGGAAACAGGTGTGTTAGGTTTTTTAGGTCAACACGGTGTGTCTCCCCCAAGTGGAGATTTCCATAGAAACGTCTCTTTCTTCTTCTTCTTCTTCTTCTTCTTCTTCTTCTTCTTCTTCTTCTTCTTCTTCTTCTTCTTCTTCTTCTTCTTCTTCTTCTTCTTCTTCTTCTTCTTCTTCTTCTTCTTCTTCTTCTTCTT